CCCTGCAGCCACTTTCATTGGTTGTGGAATGTAAACAGATACGAAACTAAAGAAAAAGCACCTGTCCAGAGCGCGGCGAAGCACCTCGTAAACGAAAACATCTGATATTTGCTTCATAAATCCGACGACTAACTACACATTTGAACTTTGCAGGAAAAAGAACTGTAATAAAAACAGAAGGACGCAGCGATTTTGTTGTTTCTGTTCTTCGTGCGCAAAAAGTAAATTTTATGGGCAGTGCACAGCAACTGGCATATTCCGTCATACATCAAATGAGAAATTTACGACTATAGTTTCTCCCTTCAAAATCTATTACTTAGTCCTGTACGTTATTTCAATTTTGGAGACTATTAATTTCTTGCAGAAACTACATACATCAAAAGCATAATGTGATCATATCCATCCGTCCTTATTTTGTATATCAAAACCATATTTAATGGATTTTGATCAAATTTGCATTTTGGTATGCGCAAAAATTTGTCTTTATATCGCATTTTTTGTTCAGAACGATCAACAATAACGGAAGATTTTAGAAAGGCCTACATATGAAGATTCCTGTCATCTCATATTTTTGTATCGTGTAGTCTGGTACTGCCACCATCTTTGCCCTGGTAATGAAGACTTACTGTCAAGTTTGTAGGTCAATGTCTAAGAGAGTAATGGTGAAACATCAGAGAAAACAGCAATCTTCCATATTTATTGCCGTGAGAATCTGAAATCCCATCACCCACGCAAAGGTGGGAGTCCCCAGACAAATTTGAGATTACAGGCACCTTTAGCAAAAGGAAAACTAAAAATTGTGTTTAAACGCGTCGGAATTGTGACGTCATTTCCAAATTTCGTAACATTGCATGTGTCATCTTAGAAAATATTTTTTTAAACAAACATTAAGATGTATTAAAAATAACGAAGATTTGAAAAGCGTGACCAAACGTGACAAAGCGTGACCTGTCTTGACGGCGTGACGAGAGATCACCATACCTCTCGTAACGTGACAAAGATTTACAAGGCGTGACAAAGCGTATCTAGGCGTGACAAACGGTAACGGTGTGACGATATGTGGCCATAACTGTCGTAACGTGATGAATATTTACAAAATGTTACCTATGCTAACAAACCTAACAGACCTAACATAACTTAACCTAACCCAAGTTAACCCAAATTAACCTAACCCAAACTAACCTAACCTATCATAACATATTCCAACCTAACCTAACCCGGCCTAAGATAACCTAGCTTAACCCAGCCTAAGCTAACCTAGCTTAACCCAGCCTAACCTACCCTAACAACCTAACCTGTTCTAAGTTCATCTAACGTATTGCAAAATAGATACAATTAAACGAGCTTGACTTATTTTAACGTAAGCGTGACTTAGTGTCCACGCGTGCCCAAGTGTGACAAAGCGTGACTAGGCGTGACGAGAGGTCAGTATAAGCGTTAAAGGACTAAAGCCTTTTTAATAAAATATTATACCTAAATGGCACCTACAAATCTAAAGGAAAGAAAGTACGTATTTTGCCCTTATTGCATACATGTTAACGACGAAATTTTTATCTTGCAAGTTTTTCGTAGTACAAAGAGATGTGGAAAATTACGTTTTATTTACACTTTTAAAAAATATAATAATCATTAACTTCTCCTAATATCTTCTTTGATTGGGCATACATACTATGACTTCATCCCGTATCCTATGAACAGACTTCTTCTATTCCACAGATAATATTTTGAGCGTGTAATTTATTCTGATGTCTGTAATTCATTTGTAATACAGTCATATAACACCGAGTAAAGATTGTACCAACCTCAATGTTGTTTTTAAGTCTTTGTATTTCTTTCATTTTCGGCACGCTTCACTATCACATTTCAATGTTTCTGTTGCTTTTATCTTGTATATTCATATTTGATTTTCGGTCAAAATTTGTCTTTCAGGATAACTTTCAATGTTACCATTTATTTTACTGGAGGATTCTAATCTTATTTGAAGATATATTCTATGGTCTGCGATAAGGCATTCTGGGTACTTCGATTCTGATGCTTGATAGATATTTTGCCGAGTAAGCGTCACGAGTGGCCTGTAACTTCCCTAGATTACAGATGAGTGAATAACAATACAGCACACCAGTGCTTTATTGCCAAAGTTGTGCATTAAAGAAGGGACGAGCGCCATTGTGTCTTGTTACAAGACATTCAGTTATCTTTGCGAACAGAAATAAGTCAACATACACATTACAAAGACGGTGGCGTTCACTTCATGCATTTCAAAGATGGATAGCAAAGATATCGAAGTCTAGTTTGAGATGCAGTACACTTCGTTGCATTGATGTGTTTCCAGGAAGGCCTCGGCGGTACTCCTTGTTGTTTTCCATTATATTGTAGCATTATCTCCGTCGTCCATGTTTGTATTCGTTTGTGACGCCACGATTATTTAAGGACGCTGTTTCAAATGCGCAAGTCGCATGATGTCGC